TTTATTGCTCTAGTCCCAAAGAAGAAAGAGGCATCACAATCGATGGATTTTAGACCAATAAGCTTGGTGAACAATCTGTACAACATAATTGGAAAAGTGTTATCTTAAGATTAAAGAAGTCCTCCTTACTATTATTGCACCCAACCAAGGAGTGCCTGTGAAGGGAAGATAGGTAACCAATCAAATCTTGATTGCAAATGAGAGCTTCGAGAGTTTTAGGAAATCAAAGTAGTGAGTGGTTCGCAAGCTAAACCCAGAAAAGGCTTATGACCTAGTTGATTGGTCCTTTTTGTTGAAAGTGTTAAGTTGCTTTAGGTTTGAGGATAGATGGTGCAAATGGATTTGGGGTTGTATTAGGAGTTGCCACTATTACATTCTGGTGAATGGAACTTGGTGGATTTCTTCCTTACTTTGAGAGGAATAAGGCAAGGTGACCCACTTTCCCCCTTTTTTGTTCACTTTGATTGTAGATGTTCTTGGGAGATTGATTCATAGAGTTGATTTGAGGAATTTACTAAGAGGATGGAGAGTAGGAAAACAGGAAGTTCCACTTACACACTTGCAATTTGCAGATAATACAATTATGTTTTGTGAAGGTGGGGACATAAATTGGATAATGAACCTAAAATTGGTAATACAACTCTTTGAGCAAATGTTTAATCTCAAGGTGAACTTTGATAAGAGTTGTATAACGGGAGTAAACATAGAGGAGAGAGAAATAAGAGTTTATGCATGTGTGTTAGGTTGTGCAATTTCGGGTTGGCCTTTGAATTACTTAAGCCTCCCCCTAGGAGATTTGAGTGAAGACTTGCTTCTTGGAGGAAGAATTATTTATCTTTGGGAGGGAGGACCGCTTTGATTAGGTCTACCTTAGCTAATTTATCTGTTTACTTCTTGTTAGTGTTTAAGCTTCCAACCAAAGTCTCAAACATGTTAGAAAAATTTACGAGGGACTTCTTGTGGGAACCAGGAGTGGAGAAGAAGGATCATAGGGTGAGTTGGGAGGTGGTAACTAGAAGAAAAAGCCTAAGAGGTCTTGGAATAAGGAATATTAGGAAAAGAAACATGACCTTATTAGGTAAGTGGTTGTAGAGATTTCCTTTGAAAAGGAACATTGTGGACGAAGATAGTGACTAGCATTCTTGGGCTAGAGGACAATGGATGAGATCCTGGAATTTTGGCAAGAGCTATAACTGCATCCTCGTGGAAAGCCATCCATGATATACTTCCAATAGTCTCTCCTTGGATCAAGTATGGCTTGAACTCATGTAACCTAGTAAAATTTTGGGAACAAACTTAGGTTGGGGATTCCCCTTTGATGGAACAGTTCTCCTCTTTGTTTGTTTTATTAGACCTAAAGAATAAACCTATTTCTTCCTTTTTAGTTCCTTCATATTCAACTTTTGGCTTTGAGTGGAACCTAGGCCTGAGAAGGGCCATTAGGGATACAGATTTGGACTACATTTTGGCATTGTTAAACATCCTTGATAATGTTTTATTGGACCCCACTAAGATATCAGAATTTGGACCCCTTCCTCCTCGGATGCCTTCTCCTGTGCTTCTTTTTTTGAAACATTAGCTCATCCCTCTACTTTTGATTTTCCTTTCCCTTCTAAAGTGGTTTGGAGTAATCCCATTCCTCCTCAGGTTGGTAGTTTTTGCTAAGAAACTTCTTAGAAAGAATCAACACAAGTGACCTACTTCGAAGAAAGAGACCTAATTCTTGTTTATCCCCAAATCAATGTTCTCTCTACAAGGTTGATGGGGAAAATGGATACCACCTTATGGTTGCTTGTTTTCTAAATCTATTTGGGAGTGGGCTTTATCCATTTTTGGGTGTAATTGGACTCCCCCTTTCTTCGTCCTTTTTTAGTTGGCCTAAAAAAGAGGGAGGATTATGTGGATATGCATTTGGGCAGCAATTAGTTGGTCCTTATAGGAAGAAAGGAATTCTCGTATATTTTCAGACAAGGAAAGAACAACTAAGAGCTTAAACAGATCCGATACACCTAAGGGTGGTTCACTGGCTGAAATCATTGGTCCTTTTTACAAACTTTTCCATGATTGATTTGTTGAGAAATCAAAAAGAGATAGCAAACTCTGCTCCAGTTAAGAGAATTTCTAGCCCCATTTGGACTTCCCCACCCTTTGGATTCATAAAACTAATAAACTTTGATGGGAGTAGTTTTGGAAATCCATGGTCATTTAGGATTGGGAGTGTCTTCAAGAATGAGGAAGGGTTTATTATGGCCTTGTATTTAGGCCTAATTGGAGAAGATGACTCTTTCAAGGCCGAGATCTTTGCGGCTTTGGAAGGAATACAAAGAGCAAGACAATTGAACTTAAGAAGATTGGTCACTGAAGGTGATCCGAAGGTGGTGGTTAGATGGCTAAAGGAAGACAACAATAACATGTGGAGCTACAGTAATGAAAGGAAAAAGTTCAAATGGTTTTCTAGGGACATTGAGGTGAAGTACAAGTAAGTGAAAAGAAATGCCAACTTTTTTGTTGATAGTTTATCTAAGTAAGGGGTGAATAGGGTGTCTTTGTTTTTGGCTAATTTCTAATTTATCTCTGTGTAATTTGTTGATGAGGGAGTTAAGTCCTTTTACCTCCCCTATATTTTGTAATTGCTCCCTTCTATTTTAATAAAGCTGATTGTTATTGATAAAAAAGCTTTTTCAACTCATCTTTTCTACTTTTGGTGTTATTGATTTGACCATTGAAGTTCATGCCTAGTGATATCACCCCAAGGTCTTTGATGTTTTCTTTTGGTCATAGGTGCTTCACAATTGCAAATTTTCAATTCTATCATTGTTACAAATTTTGGTAGTAACAAATGGCAATGTCTGTGGAAATTGAACAAAACGTCCATTTCACCCAAGAAGTAGCCAACCTAATGACTTAACCTCCAAATGGCCAACCTATTAATGGTTGACCTGGAATGACCGACTTGTATTGACCTATTGTCTAGGGCTGTCAACTTGAATCTACCTATCATCCAAGGCGACTTGGAGTAGCTGACCCAATATCATATCTTTTAGCCAAGGTTCTAAATACCAATATGCAGGTAGGGGCGTATCCAGTGATATCAATAGTATTTTTTACTTTTTTATTTTTTTTTAAAACCGGTTCAGGGGGGCCAATTTAAGGTTCTTCCATCCCCTGTACCGGTTAGAACCTTGATACACCCTCTATAGGGACGTATCGGGGAGCTCCCGAAACAATATGTATCGGCCGAACCAATACATGTTGATACTTTGAACCTTGCTTTTGACCAAATTGACCTAACAACCACCTCATTAAAAGGCTCAACTAGCAACCTCCCCTTCCAAAATAAAGTATCAATGCTATGAAAATGACTTGGGATGGTGGCTAACTTATACTAACTTAGCTGAACACAAGATAGAGCTAACCCATCACCTTAGAGACAAGTAACTAATTTGACACTTCAAGTGAGTCAATCTAGATGCTACCTCATCTTGGAAGTGGGGGCATATGATATGGCCAAAACTGATCACCAGTCAAAAGGCACACCACATGGCAACAGGCTAGGGTCAACATGGTCAATTGACCTCACATTACCTTAGAAGGCCGAGCTGACTTGACCAAGCTCCCTTAAGCCCAACTGACCTGATCAAGCTCACCTAAGCCCATCTTGACCCAGCCAAGCTCACCTAAGCCTAGTTGACCTAGCTGAGTTCACTTGATTTGATGAAATAGACCTAATGCCATCTCATGACATGTACATCTGGTTAATCAAGGAAGCAACACATCAGAGCATCAATTCCATTTCATTCAAAGCAGGTTTATTGCTTACCACGTGCACATTACGTGTCAACCCAAGATGTAACAAGCCAATCGAGTTTTCGCCTTGTGTAAGTGATGTGCCCATTATTGAGGGAAGCTCCTCTCCTATAAATAGGTGAGTTCCTCGTTTATTACAGTACATTGGATACTACACACAAGACACACAACAAACACCTTAGCACATCATCTTACCTCTCCTCCTATCATGTCTCACCGAGATTTTCAGCTCTTCTTTACTTTTGACATTGTTGACTTGACCATTGAAGTTCATACCCCAGAAATATCAACCGAGATCTCTAATGTCCTATTCAAATTGCAGGTGCTCTACAACAACCAAGGTATCAAGGTGAGGTGACACCCTGTAAGTCGATATTTCCAGCAAATTTTCAATTCTATTCATGATGCCTGGAACCCTACTCTAGAATACAAAGCTAGAAAATAGGTTGGGAAATAGTCAATAAAAGATCTTTACTCAGTTTGGAAGGAGTACAAATACAAATATATTTGCAATGTACATATTTGTATTTATACTCTTTTCAACCTGAGCCTACTTAACTACAACATTGCATGAGGTTAATTGACAATGACAAAATGAAGCAAAGGTGTTGCTAATAATCTAACTGGTGCATTGTATGGGGCATATATCCAGTGTCGAATATAAAATAAGGATTTGATTAACCTGTACGGTAGCATTTATCGACGTCATAAAAAATGGCCATTTGGAAGTCTTGCGTTTTTTCTCAAGTCATACAATGGGAAGCTCTGTACCACAAATTTTGACCATCTCAAGAACGGTGCTTTATCACTTCGAAGCTCTAGGTTTTATTTTCGGCTCTGTTTGCAGTGAAAATTTGAACTGTAAACAAATTTTGCACTCGGTTTAGTTTTGCTTTCGTTTGTTTATTAACGAGTTACAATCCGAATTGACACAAAACTTGCACTTTTTGTTTTATTTGCACTCACTAGCCACTATAAATGTAAATTTTGCATCCCAGAAAATGATACAAAATTTGCACCCCTTTCCCCCTACTTCAATTTCTTTTGTATAAAGTGAGGATCATATCATCATGTTTCCTACCTTGCTCACAAACAAATAACACTCCTACCCCCATTATCTTTCGTATAAGGTGAGAACTACACTATTTTACTTCCTATTTTGCTTCTCACAAACAAATAAGACAGCCAAAACCGAAGCAAAATTAAACCAGAATTCACAAACCTATTTGCAATCCCATGAATTTACACCAGTGCAAATGAAATTCGCACTGCAAACAAAGCCTTTGTGACAAGAAAATTATATTAGTCGACTAAACAGAGCTACTGGGTTTGAGTAATATGGATTCTATCTTTCTTTATGTCAAAACAACATACTTTCACCTCGCTTGAACAATACTGTCATTGAGGACTGGTTGAGTAACATCTATGGGAGGACTGGAATCAGCTTTCATGCCTGAGTTTGGAACAAACGTTGAAGTACTGCTGCTAGCTTGAGTGCTGATAATATCGTTGAATTGCCAATCCGTTAAATAGCCAGGCTTGTATGTGACTTCACCCACTTCAATGTCTCCAGCTAGCATGGCCACAACACGTGACATGGATGGTCGTAGTGTTGGTGATGCTTGAGTACACAAGAGAGCTACTCCTATGAGTCGGTGAGCTTCACTTTCATTGAACTCTTTCAGTTTTCGATCCACCAATTCCAGTTCACGGTGATTTTCACGTAGATTCCATGCCTAAAGAATTTAAGAAATGATGGTGTTAAGAAGGAATGCTATAAGTGGTACCACTATACAGTAGATAAATTCGGTAAGTTGTTTCTTTTAATACCCATTCAAGAAGATATATTTTCTCTGAAACCAAATTTGAGTAGTCAGTATTTGGCCTTCCACTAAGAACCTCAAGAGCAACAACTCCAAATCCAAAGACATCAGCCTTTTCTGTTAGATGCCCACGCATAGCATACTCTGGTGCGAGATATCCACTACAAAGGCAAAACCAAGAAGTGGAATCGTTAATTTAAATTGGAAAAGATTAGTAATATGCAACTTGTTATGATTTAATACAAGTAATATGCAGTTATGGGAGATCACATTGTTCCTGCAACTCGGGTGCTGATATGCGTCTTCTTTTCATCATATAACTTGGCCAAACCAAAATCTGAAATTTTGGGGTTCAAATCGGCATCAAGCAGAATGTTACTAGCTTTCACATCTCTGTGTACAATCCTTGGACTGGATTCTTCATGGAGATAAGCTAGGCCTCTTGCTGCCCCCAAGCAAATTGCATAGCGTGTCGTCCAATCAAGATATAGATGAGTATTTCCTGCAAATTTGCTCCAATTTTATACAGATTTATCTTTATGCATCCTGTTCAGAGCATAAAACATAGTGCTGAGATAAGTTCATACCAAAGAGTGCCTGATCAAGGCTCTTGTTTTCAAGATACTCATAAACGAGGAGTCGTTTATCTCCCTCGATACAGCATCCATATAACTTTACAAGGTTGCGATGTTGAACAGCAGATATTGTAGAAATCTCTGCTACAAATTGCCTCTTTCCCTGGGGGGATACTACTGAGAGTTGTTTCACAGCCACATCCCTCCCATCAGAATGTTTTCCCTGCATAAATTTTCAGTATAAATTTATGGATGTATCTACTCTTATTATGAAAAATATCTGCAATATTCTTTTGCTTTAAATATCTGCAATGTTTATCAAGCATGCAAAAGGGAAAACAATATGATTAAATTAATACCAATTGATCAATGCTAGCAAGCAAAACTTTTCCAGAGTTCAGAGCCTTGCAGGCATGACAGGAACCAAGGGAACACAACTAGAAGACAATGGTTGATATTGGCCCCATCATGTCTATACTCTGTAGAGCATCAAAGTCTGGCTAGAAATTCACAGAACACATTGAGTGTTTCTAAAAACAGACCAGACCTATGGTCAGATTGGGTTCAATCAGACTGAAAAGATAAAAGTCAAAATTGGTTTGATTCTCCAAAAATCACTCTTTTATAAAAAAAAAAAAGATTTTAATTAAAACGTAACAGTGAACCTTAAAGCAGTTGAACCAATGATAGAACTAAACTGGGTTCATGATAGTTTTTTTTTTTCCAAAAGTTGGCATTGATTGTCAATAGAACACACTGTATTTTTAACCTGGGTATAAGGTGAGTGAGATAAAAATGTTCTACACATTAAACGTATAAATTTCTGTTTTTTATCCTTTTATTTTCACCTTGTTAATTGATATTTACTATTCTATATATGTAAATATTAAAATGATTTCATAAATAAAGGGGATCTTACCAACCCAATCATGGTTGGACCCCGGTTCTTTATCTACATTGAAAAGATGGTTAGATTACAAGTAGGTTATTTTTTCTTTTTATAAATTGGAATAAATGCATCCACAGGAACACCTATATAGTGCAGCCAACTCAATGTTCTCATGTTGTCGTTACATGCTTATTCATGAAGTATGCATAAACAATGATGATAACACCCTATGGCTTAGGCAACTAGTATGAATCTAAGGTTAATTTGTTTAACAATCTCTTGGTACAAACAAATAAAATCCAATTCTATCTTTTGACTATGACCTCAACTTGTCGCATAATCTGTATCTATATCTACATCTATATCTATACTACTATTAAAAGTACAAATGAGCTTGATTAAAATACCCCTATTTTTGAATTTGGTCTCTCTCTAATTGTGAGGACAGAAAATGTAATTTAAATTACAAATTTTCACCTCATTTAATTCACCCTTATCAAGTCTAATATTTAAGGTATTAATTCTCATACTCTCTCATTAAATCTTATATTTAAGGTATTTTTCTCACCAATAAATTTTACAAATTGGATAATTTATATTCAATACTTTCTAACAATATAAAAACCATGTCTTTTAAAACTGACCTAAAAGCAAAACCATTCTTCTGTACAAGTGGTGGATAAGCAATTCAACCATCCATGTCAAATGGGTTAACCTATGATATCATAGTTAAATAAGTTTTTAAATATAAATAAGTATAGCATTACAAAAAAATAAAAAAAATTGTAGAAAAAATGGGCACATATCTTATAGTTTATGTTAACCATACCATAGTTGTCAAGGTGTTGCGTAGGTGACTAGGTGCCCTTGGCTGAGCACCCTCCCTAAATGCCTGACTTATAGAAACAAGACACCAGCCTTGGCGATAAGGTGTCAACCCAAGTGACAAAAATGACAAAGTGGATGCCTTATTATAACATCATTTATATTACATCTTATTAACATTGTTAGAGAATAAAAACCTATTCAGGGACTTCACCTAATAGCTTAAGCTTTTAGGTTGAACAGTTCCTTGAGATGGTATCAGAGCCTTTTTGATCAAGTGGTATCAGAGAATAAAAACCTATTCAGTGTTTGATCCTTGCTGCCCCCATTACAATTAATTAACTTTAAGCACAAGGTAAGTGTGGGCCTGTGCTTGTCCATGCATCAAGCCCGATGGGCTTTTGCATGACCTATTCAGGGACCTCACCTAATAGCTTAAGCTTTTAGGTTGAACAGTTCCTTGAGAAATATGTTTTGTTAATACATTCTATTATATACTATGCTATCATTTATTCTTTGTTTTAATGTTTTACTACTGAAATTTAAAAGATCAAAGAGTTTGACTGTTTGAGAAGGGAAAAAAGAAAGAATGCATGGAAGTATAAAGAGGTTTCTTTTTTTTTTTGTTTTTATTCTCTCTTTCTTTCTTACATCTTGAATTTTTATCATCCATGTTTTAATGTTTTACTATGCTATCATCCTTGTTCTTTTTCTATTCTACTTTCCATCTTGAATTTTTATCATACAAGTTATAACCTTCTTTAGTTGTTAGTAGATATGAAATTGCTCTTTTAGATACTGAGTATTATTTTTGAAAATAATGAAATTAATATATTTACAAGATTTTATCTTTTAGATATGATGATTTTCCAAGTTTAGATATGATGATTTACTAGAGAGCTAACCAAAATTTACTTCTTTACCTTATAAAGTTCTTATTGTCTAGGCAACTAGGTTACTAGGTCCCCGGTGTCACCAAAAATCACCTAGATGCCTTGACAACTATGAATCATATTAAAGAAAAATAAGTGTGATATAAAGGGATTGTTTTAATGATGATGGGAGTGATATATGAAATTTAAAATTGACCCAAAAATAAAATTGTTTTCCCATCTACTGGCAGATCAACTATTCAATCTTTCAGGTCAAATGTTTTAACCCTTGATCTCATTGTTAAATAGTAAAAATAAAAAGTTAAAAACATAAAAGAACTATGAAAAATACCTGAATTTTGTAGAAAACATTTGGGCACAACTCTAATATTATATATTCTATCATATTAAACAAAAATTAGTGTGACAAATAATGATTGTTTTTATAAACATAGAATTATAAAAATTTGGACACATTATTACTATCATCATCATCATCATTTAAAATGTCATGTGCAAAACACGTGTGCATTTGCTAGTGCAATATAAATGGTAAATCTAATTAAATCTTACCTTGTAAACAGGTCCAAATCCACCCTCCCCTAACTTATTTTTAGGATTGAAGTCCTCTGTGGAAGATCTCAGTTCAACATAACTAAAAATGTTGGCTTTGGGAGTCATTGATAAAATCTCTGCAATTTATAAATAGATAGGTTATAACTCTTGCAATGGGCTATCTTGCAATGTATCCTATTACACTTTCTAATGTGATCCGATTAATTTTATTAATAACAAGCATAGTTTGATAGAAATAAGCCAATATACAGTCTTGCATGCTTGATCAAAATCCCTGCTTCAGAGTTCTGTGCAGAGTGTGTGCATTATCAAGCAGATTTATTTTTGAATCATATAAGCCAATAAATAAGCCCATGATTGTATAAGCTTCTGCTTTTAAGCTTTGGTCTGTGGTAAACAAAAATGTGACCAAGCGTTGTGAGTGTTTAGTAAGTGTTTCTTTGAACATTCTGAAGTCAACACACTTTTATGCCCAAAAACAAAAAGCCTAAAATTAGGGCTTTAAAAACACAAATCCTGAAGCCTGTCTAAATGCAAGCTATCTTTCACATAACCTGAAACTTTATATTGGATAAGCCTCACAATAATTTATTAGAAAAAAAATTAGAAGCTATTTTGTTTTCCTGGTTCATTTTTCTAAGCCTTTTCCCGGTTCGTTATTGAATGTATCACAAAGTGTTCTTTATCATATGAGGCGTCATCTTGAAATAAAATTGGTTAAGAACTTTTGGTCTGAAGAACTTAAATGAACCAAAATAGTTTGCCATTATTCTTATGTGCTGTCCTAAAAAATCATCAACATTATTATTTACAACTAATTTAGATGCTATTATTTAACTTAGGGCAATTTGATTTCATGGAATGGCTTTTCTAAGGAATACCAAAAAACAATATCAATTTATTGTGTGTATGGAATGCACAAGGAGGCCCAAGTTCAATTCTTGTAAGCTCAAATTATTTTAGAGGACTACACATTAGGTCTGCAGCCTTGCCTAAAATTAGGGATGCTTGTGCAGGCTCAGGCTGAGCATTTGATAAAAATTGAATCAGCTCATCCCAAAACCAGTGTAAATTCTTCAAGCCAGGTACCTGACTTGCATCCCTTTCAAAAATGGAGAATGTAGATGGAGCATCATTAGGAAGGATTTAACAACTATTAGCTTTAAAATCAATAATAAGAATGTAGAATGTTGATTCATGGTCAAGGTTGTTAGAATGCTCGAGTTAGGGGTATTTTGGTCATTCTGGTGTATCTTATTGAAAGTGAAATGTCTATTGTATCTGAGTTTAAGTTATGTGTCCC